ATTCCCCTTTATCCGGGAGAAAACCCCTTAGGGGAGGTTCCCCGTTTTTTTTGGAGTAGCCCAGGGGGGGGGGGGGGGGTTTTTGGCCCCCCCGTTCCCTTTCCCTTAGTACAAAGGCGGATGCCCCAATGTTCCCAAACCGGTGGTGGTTCTTCCCCCCCTGAAATTTTCGGTTTTCGTTTCGGGGGGGGGGGGGGGGGGGCTGACGGATATCTTGCTAACGCAGAGTACAAAGAGAGGAAGAGAAAGACGCGAAATGATGGAAATACAAAAGCCCATGATGGAGTTCTTCGAAACGGCGTCTCTACCGTCAGGGCTCAAGACAAAAAACGGAGAGAGTTGAGAGAGAAAAGAGAAAGCGACAGAGCGGCAGAGCTTAAGCGGCAATGATTCGTCAAATACTCTCATCGCTACCGGCTTCCGCAGTTGTCGTCGACCGCAAGCGCCGTTTCGAGAGTTGGTTGCTTTGACTTCTTGGTTCGACGCGTTGAAGGTACGATGGAGCTCCGCGTGGTCTTAAACCATGACCTAAATCAACCTACTGTACATACCACGATCAACTCACCAATCCAACAAAGAGTAGCTCCAGCTGGCATCACCACAATACAGTGTAGAGGCTCGGCACATTCAAAATACGCCCAGTGTCCAGCCCGGTCCCCACTATCTACAAAGACTTCAACACACCCCTTTGACTGCTGTGGTATTATTCGAACAGGTAGTCTTTCCGTGACATGTACGCGAATATATATATATATATAAAAACTCTCCGCGACAACCCCCTCTTGCGACGACACACAAACCTCCTACGCCACCTGTCACCACACACGTCACGACGGCGCCCCAAAACTACACAGCGGCTCACGTACCCTACACCCACCTGCATGTTCCAGGTGACCGCGCGGGTCCCCGACACCAGCCCACCCGCCTTCGCCCTGTCCGCCTCCACCTCGAACGCGTCGGCGGATTGCCGCTCAGCTTCCAGCTCCGCGAACGCCACCCTCCCCCAACCCCCCCCGTCGCCAATCCCGTCCGCGGTGCCCCCGACGCCGTCGAACGCGGGGGGCCCGCGAGAGAGAACCGTAAACGACACGTGGACGTCCGTCGTGGAAAACCCGGCGGAGGCCGAGGACCCCGCGGCGGGTCTTCTTCGCACCAATCCGAGGAGGCGGCCGGCCGCCGGCGGGGGCGGGAGCGCTCGCCGGACGCGCACGGTGACAGCGTACGCGTACCGGACTCCGACGCCCTGCCACCCGCGTTCATTTTATATATGGTCCAGAGGAAGAAACAAGGCGTGATCTAGTGGTGCTGTTGGTGTTTTTTTGCTGGAGGAGGCTCGGGGAAAAGGGGTCGGGGCACCGATATACCCACCACCACCACTTGTCAAGAAAAAAAAAAAAAAACGAGCGTCTATCGTGCGACTCCGCGAGCCGAAAGCACGGCGTCACGACACATGTTCTAGAAGAAAAAAAAACTTCCTCTCTCTCACCCGGAACGTGGGCGTGAGGTTCTCGGGAAGCACGAAGCTGAACCGGAAAGAGGCCGGGTGCCTGCCGCCGTCCACCCTCTCCTTCTTGAGCAGGACGGCAACCTCCGAGGCGAAGACGCACGCAGAACGGTCGTCCGTGAGACCGCTGTACCTGCATCGGTGTGTCGAAAACCAAACTACGCGTTTTCTGGAGCGAACGTTCTCGTCTCGTAGATCAAAAGACGCGTGTTGTGGCGCGGTTGCTGTCCTCGGATAGAGAAACAAAGCCATCACAGCAGCGGGTATATTCTATCGACCGGCGGAAGACGGGAACGTGATAGGGAAGAGTTTTTTTTTTCGGGCGTGGAGTCTTGCAAAACCCTGTAAATTGTGGAGCAAGTGGAGAGCAAGAACGAACCGGAACGGCGAAGCGCACTCTGTGCCGGGACGCCCGAACAAAACCTGAGGACGGAGAACACAGAAACGGCATGACGTCGCCCAACTCGTGGTATCCCCCGGCAAGCACGGTAATGTAGCAGCGCGGAAGCAGTGACACTGACCATTACCGTGAACGACGGTAACAACAACACCGCAAGAGGCGGAGAGATGGCAGTCCCCCCCAAAGACCGACTTTCAAAGCCCAATTGCTCCACAACCAAGATTGTCTGTACCGTGCCGTATACCGTACCGTGGTATATCCGTAAGAATCAGAGAGATGGCACCCCCCCCTAGACCGATTTCCAAACCTCGATTGCTCCACAACCAAGGTTGTGCCAGCACCAAAAATGGTTATTTCGGGAGCGCTTCTCGTCGAGGGCTTTTCGCAGACGTTCCGGCTCTTTCCGCACCCGCTTGGTCGTGGAGCTATCGAGCGTTGAAATTCAGTTTTGGGACGTGCGCCATCTCTCCACCTCTCGCAGAAAACAGTTATACAGTCCAGACGAACTTTCGCCAACCGCCACAAGCCTGATCAAAACCAAACGATGCTGCTGTTCTGCGGCGGGGATTGCACGCAGGAAGATGCCGAAAACGACCTCGCACACCTTGGGACCGGAAAAGCCTGATCCACCGGCTTCCTGTCGCCGTCAGCACCACCACCAGCACCACCAGCACCACCACTACCTTCTTCCTGGCGAAAGAGTCTACGAAGGGAGGTCGGAAGCGCGATCCATCTCGGGTCAACCTTCACGTAGCCGTGCGCTTGCACCGTCGCCTGACGTAAAAAAAAAGAAGGCATAAGTATGTGCACACACACCAGTTTAACCCACTTGCAAAAGGAGGGTACAGGTACGTACATACACGAGCTGGAGCGGCATCTGTGTCTATGCATGTGCTGCAGCGACGTCCAGAGCTGAGCCTGTGCGAAAAACAGAATGCACCATACTTGTAGAAAGGATAGTGATGGCGACGCTCTTGGACCGAAAGCATCGGTGCCTGTCAAGATGAATTTAGAACCAGAAGTGCGGTAGCGACGCGAAGAACACTGCAAACCAGCAGGAGGCGAAGAACCTCTCCCCCGATCACAAAGAAAAAAATACAGACGTAATTACAGCAGCTGGAACCCAGCAGTAGTTAACTGTAGTCCCCCGGGTGGATCTTCCAAAGCTTGACAGACAGGGATTTCCGACATCGCCCGACTGCATTGCTCATACATGTTTGGAGAGCTCTTTAAGGAGCCGAAGCAAGTGTTGGGCCATTCGGAGCCCGCCATCAGCTTCTATTTTATGAAGCCGGACCAAATCCATTGGACCATATACTGTAGTCAAGCGCTGACTTACAGTCCAACGTTTTTTTTATGCGTAAAAAATTGTAAAATCACAACAAAATATCATCTCTTCCCCAGGTAAAGAGTCCGTGATAGACAAGCAACAAATTTAAAGTCTCGTATTGTACGGTGGCCAACTTGCATTTCTACCTTTTCCTGAACAGCATTCAGCGACATCTCCCCTGTGGATAACAGGATGGACAAGATTTCGGCTGCTAGAGCTCGATCGGCCGACTACTGCTGTAGTCTTAACGGCTGGTTTCGGCTCCTGAAGCTCGATGATTGCGTGATGCTTCGTCGCGAAAAAGCTGCGGTAGGAATGCACTGCAAAGGGATTCATCTTTATGACCATGGCTTGCACATGAGCCCTCACGGAACACACTGATGCAACGTGCAGACGGCGAGACAGGATACATATGAGAGCGCCAGTGACAAGAGCGAGCAAGCGAGCGAGGAGGTTCCGGGTTGCTGGCCGTCTTGTAAATTTGTGCATTATTATAGTCGAACCGTGGTGGCATTTTCGTCGTTTTGCTGTCAACTTTTTGCAGCAAGAACATACGCAAATCGTTTGGAACCAATGCCAACTCTCAGAAAGAGAAGAGTCACAAGTACAGATACTCTGTGGAATCGAAAAAAAACACTGTCAAATCCAAGCAACAGAAGAAGCACGTACATACATACAGCAGTAGTGCCGCCGACAAAGCATGTACCAATGCATAGTCGTGGCAAGTGGCAAGGATTCTCTACTACGACTCCAGACTGTCTTTTCCACGTTCCACCGCAAAAGTGAAAAAACTGCGGCTGCGAGAAAGACCTGAATACCATACACATTCCCACCGCGTATGGATCCCCCCTGGCCTCCCTGACCGTACCTCCTCGATGTCCACGCCGTCTTGATCCTCGGACGAAACGCCAAACTTGATTGTTCCGCGAACGTGCTCCCCAGGCAAAAACGTGTTGCGCTGCAACGCACAGGTTACCCTGCACCGGTCCTGCGGAGAGCCCTGTTGGGCACCCTGCTTCTGATGCAAAGAGTCAGCCCGTCGCCTTGTAGAAGCATCCATAGCCACTGCCCATTCGACCTGCGGGAGAGCTAAGGGAGAGCGCTATTTTTTCCACTCTGTGCGGTACCGCGCTGTGCGGTGTCTGCTGCAGCTGCACACACAGGGCTGACTCGATATTTGCGCCGCAGGGGGCTCCCCGATCGAGGGTAACACATGGTGTTGCAAACGAATGTACGGAACCCCTCCGATGTATGCTTGGTGTACAGACCCCAGTACAGCAGTGTAGTAGGGTCCGAGCAACGATCCAAGGCGTGTATACGCCAGAGCTAAACTTCCCCGCAATTCTCTCTTTCTTGTTACTTAGGTTTACGATAATCAGTAGGATGTGTGGACAAGCAAACGATGGGAAAATGCCAGGCGAGTCCTAACAATGGGGAAATTTAAATTTCCACGGAGAAATGACCAAACAAACTATGTCAAGAGCAAGGGTAGTGCTGTGCGAAGGATTTGGCTTATACAAAGTATCAAGGAAGAAGCCCAAGAACAAGTGCGACAATTTGTTAATGACAAGGTATCTGCATACCTGGAAGAAGCGACACACGAAGACGCTTGAAGGGAGTTAAGCTTGGCGCAGTCAGCAGCGTTGGAAGCCCGGGAGAAGGCGAGACTATATTAATTACCAACAAGCAAGGTTGTTGTAACATGTTACTGATGCTGAAGCTGAAGAGAAGACTGTCACACGGGCGATGCGTGAGGGGCAGCTGATTCTACTGGCGAAATTGCGACTCAAGCCGAGACGATCGTACAGCTGTACAAGGATATACTGGAACTGAGGCGTTCTGCACCAGACCAGATCAATGGGAATCGCGGAAGAGACCAACTGCGAGGAAGTCATCACCTTCTGCCGGAAGGTCTCGAACTGCTATCAGTCAACAGGATCTGGACGACCATGCGAATGCAGTAGATGCCGAACTCTGCTCAAATACTTTTTATCAATTATTGATCGGCGCGGCACAATTTCTGCGCGCAGACATGCGCCCGATGACGAATCAAGCGGCAGCGGACTCGCCGTTTTTGGAAAGAACTCAAAGCAAAATTCCAACCAGCTGGTGATCACCGGAGATGGAACCTGGAGCGCGAATTGGAGTCAGCTACCATCCGATCTGGAACGGATCCCGATATCCCGATATTTTATCACTCCTGTGTGGCATCTGGCGGAGCAACTTCGTTTTATTGGAGGAAAAGTCACGGACGAGAACATTGGAGACATCATTCTACAAGGTCTGCGGGTGGAATAAGGTCTGATTAGGTACTACTAGCCAGTTCTCGACACGAGTACAACGATCTGGCGGAAATAACTCAAACCGCGAGGAATATGTGGTACAAAAGAAACAGAAAATATGACACCGTTCAAGAAATGACGAAGTCCTGCTCGTGACGCAGGATATTCAGCAATAACGAGAGCACCGCAACATTGAAGGCGCCGACATGGGGGATATTCGGAGTCTTCAAACAGCCGAGGCGCAATTGAATGTTACAACTGACATCGTTTGGGTCACGTTCAACGCAACTAACTGCCTTAGGGTTACGGTTAGGGTTATAGACGGAACGGTTTTCCAGTGTTGATGAGGAGCCTACAGTACAGAAGGGGGAACAAACTTCTTTGTGCTTTCTTTCGTGAATTGAAACGCACTAACGTATTCGCTGTGTTGTCGTCCTTAGCGAGGTTTCTTCTTCATCCGCACCTTCGTATGACTGCGGCAATGAGTGCACCACCTCCTGGCCAAGAAACTTGAAAAGCTCAAGCTTCTGGCCAACGTTGAGCCGCGTGCGGGGCTTTTGTGCAGCTGTAGCGCGAGTTGTTTTTTTCCGCGCGCCTAGTGTGAGAAAGGCACCTTTCACCTCTTTGCGCTTGGGTAGATTTGAGACGCGAGGCAAACTCTGCGCCTTCTGGGTTGCACACTCGAATGAGGTGCACCTCGTTGTCATCCTATTTCTCCACGCCCCCACATATGCCGTGCATGCGGCCACCACAGTCACCTGTACAATCGTGCGCGCCGCTTGGACTCCGTGCTGGAAGCACGATTATCCGCCAGCGCACCGCATGGTGTGAAGGTCTCGCTGTATGGTTTTCATTATGAGCATCAAGCACGCTAACCGGCTGACCAATGTCGCTGTGTGCTATGCTTGTGTGTGCAAGCGAAGCGCGCGCTGGATCTCCGCAAAATTTGAACCGATAACCGATATTGGTAGCTAAAAACATGTCCAATGACTGCTTTTGAGGGCGCGACCGGTTTAGCGGTTGTATACCCGCGAAACTGGGGTGCAGCCGTGTCGGGGTGCAGCCGTGTCACGAGATTTTGTGACCGCAATTCAGAGCATCCCGATCAACAGGGAACCGCTAAACCGGGAACCGCTAAACCGGGACCACGACTGTACTCCGCAAAATACAACCTATCCATAATCCAATAGGCTAGGAAACGACAGCAGGAGCGGGGCGGTGTTGTTCCATTCGGTTCGATGTGCGAGGAAGCTCGGAAAGGACCAAGGCAACAGGTGTCCCTCCCTGCTCTCTCAGCTTGTCCTGGATTTGAAAGGATGAGAGCGCACACACAATTACTTGGTACACTGTTGTACGCTGTTCACTTCGGTGAGATGGTGCACCATGTCCGTTGCATTCTGCCCGTTCCACTACCCTCACCAAACACGCCCCCCGCGCACTCCACAACGCGCACCCAACATTCAAAGTCAAAAGCGAGGACCACACCCCACAATCTCTTGACTTGAGCCAAGTCATTCAACAGCGTCCTTGCCACGATCAATCCTCTCCCCGTGAGTAGGGTGAACCTCATCCCTCATAGCGCCTTGCTGAACACTTCGCCACGCTTCAACCTTGGTGCAATACGAGCATGACCCGGTGTGTTCCACCCCCGTCCCACCGGGTCGCAAGGCCAACGGCCAAACGACCGCGCAACGCATGGCTACACCCCCGCCCTCGCTGCTGGCCCAAAACCTACCCTTCATTCGTTGGTTAATTTTGCCCCAGGACCACGCAAGACGTCCAATCAAACGGACTGTAAATATGGACCAGAGATCGGGACGGTCTCTAGTGTGAAGGTAACAACAACAGCAACGACAACAACAACGACGACGACGACGACAACGACGAACAGCTGGATTGGGTTCAATACTAGTCGGAGGCATCCGGTGTGGCATCAACAACCGCGCCCACGATTTTCACGAATGGTTTCGCCGCGGGGGACTCTGCGTACATCGTCGTGAACGCCTCGCCCTCCTCGCACGCCTTGAGAAGGTTCGGGTCCATAGGGATCGATCCCAGGAATGGTACTCCGTACGACTCCGCCATTCCACGCGGGCCCTTGCCGAAAGATGTAAACACGGTCGTCTGTGATCCGGGCGAAACAACGCACAAATTGGAAAAGAAACGGTGAGGGGGAAATCGGCGTGGCACGAAACCAACGCCATGGATCACAATCAGATGGCCGTGAGAACGTGCAGTGTACGCGGAGTAAAAAGAGTGGAATAATCTCAGGTGAGGGGCTCGTGGAGGCGAGGAGATATCACCGGTGGGGGGGGTGCGATAGGCGTCGTTTGACGTGTATTTTTCCCGCAGGAGGTGAAGCCACTACCACGTTTGCCGCAGAAAGCACCAAATGAAAACGTTGCTTAGACACATCGGGATAATCATACATACGCTGCGGCGGTTCTACGTTGCGTGCATAAGATACATGAACATATTTCAAAGCGTCCTATATACAAGTTTGTCACTGTTCCTGCCCTGTCGGTTCTCGAGAGGTTGTTGTTCCAAGAGAGATGTGCCAAGGGGGGTAAGCCATTCCGGGGGCTCTGCAAATGGTAATTTTCCGTGCCGGAACAAGCCTTATCTGATTGGCCCAAAACAAGAGTGGACTGTTGTCGTGATTGCATCGTTGGTGTGCGTTGTCACCTGTGCCATGAGTTCGAGGAGTTCCGGTGCTTTCTCTCGCAATATCGCCCGTGCAGACTCCGTCTTATCCTCTCCCGTTGCCCTATCCACGAACAACAGCTCAGAAACGGGCACCTGTTGTACATCACGTGTCATGGTCCGAAGATCACGTGTAGGGTAGAGCAACCGCCAACGGTGTGAAAGTTCGTAGGCTAGACTACATCGGGAGGGCTGCAAGCGGTGTCTGAACAAACGTGTAGCACCTGTGCAAACGTGCCAAGTCGCACATGCAACACCGGAGGGACAAACGTCTGGACTAAACTAAATCCGTGTGACACCGCCTGAAGGACGACCGGACTATCACGTGCGTTGAATTGTTGGCGACTCGTGATAAATGTGCCGAGGAAATTCTCGCGTCGCACCCAAAAACACCACCGTGGTTAGTGTACAGGTGCAACGCGCTACTGCACCACACCGCGACCATCACACACATAGGCAGCGATTGGTTTTCGAGCGTCGACGTTTTGCGAGCACAAGAAGGGCGGACAACATTGAACGCCCGACGCTTGAAGCTACGTGTCTTCTCGCACCGCTTCCTCAAAAGGCATTCCTCTCGCTTGTTGTGCATGTGGTTCAAGCTACGGGCAACACCATTCTTCCAGGGATGTATCCCAACCATTCCGGTGGGCGAAAATAATCATTCCAGATAGAGTTTATGGCAGCGCTCACCGTCAACCCGCTCATGTTTTCCACCACACCCAACACGTTCAGCCCGGTTTTTCGGCAGAAGCTGAGCTCTTTCCGCACGTCCGCCATCGCCACTTCCTGCAGATACGACGACGAGAACCACAAGCATAAGAAAGGGAGTGGGAGTACATGCGCATGAACGCAAAAGCACCTTGCTGCACGACGACTATTTCTCGGAATTGGAGGGAAAGTAGTACAGGGGGAAGCAATTGTTGCCGAAAGAGATTTGACAGGAATTCCCAAGGTCTGATCGTCGGAAACATTGTTTGGTGGGCTGCCCCTACTGCAGCAAATCCCTTTAAAAACATCTTCTGGTAGCAGAATACGATTAGAGAACAAGCAGAACAACAACGCCAAAGAAAAAGGGAAAATGTTTCATCGATCTGCGATTCGAGGCGCAATGTCGGGCGACAAACCAGCAGAATAATGAGACATACCCCCAACTATTCTGTCTCACAGTTCCGACTCTGTACGAACAACGATTATACTCTACACCGCACCTGAGGCGTCGTTACCACCACAGCCCCGTCCACGATGCAGCCTCCCAAGTACTTGACGACCGACATGTGCTCATCGCTTGTGCCAGGCGGAGTGTCAATCACCAGATAGTCCAGCTGCCCCCAATCAACGTCCTGAGTGAGCAAACGGGCGACCGATGAGGCGGCTCACCCATTTCCAGGAGATAGTCTCGACATATTTACAGCTTTCCGGAAATTCTTACGAAAGGGAGGTAGATCCAGCTTGTGGCGCGAAGCGTTCGAGGCTCGTGTTGGTAGAGGCGCACGCGGTAATGGAAGGTAGATTTTCCTCCCCTCCCCACACATGATAGTGTGTAGACACTACGAGAGATTGGACTGTTTTATCCTACCGCACGACGTGACCCATACAAGCTGAGCAAGATACACAAGGAATGAAACCTTAAACAATTTTTGTCAAATAGTGTGCCTCCTTCCAGCGTTCCAAACGGCGCGAGTTCCCCAAAACCAGCGCATGGAACATCAATGCCGGGGTTCCGACCCCTTCATCGTTCACACCGTGAGGAACTGCTTGATAAGCCCGTTCTTCTTGGGCCCCCTCCAGATAACCGCGTTGTCCTGCTGTGGGAGCATGAAGCCGATCGACATCACCCCAAGCCCGTCCGTCACCCACACCGGCGACCACCCAGACGAGCTCTGGTGGACCTCCCTCCCCGTGAGACCAAGCATGCGGGGAACACTGGGGCCGCAGATGTCGATATCCAGCAAGCCCACCTGCGGCACGAAAAATCGGTTGTACGGGGGCTCTGTTCAAGAGAGTTTGCGTGTCTTGAGAGACGGTTTGTCGTGTTCTTGCTTGCAAAATGCATGTTTTGCTCTCGTCAGGTCTCCGAAAAAAAAACAGGTACGTGTACAATGCGCGTACACTCCAATGTTCTTGAAGCCTCGTTGTCCGCCTTCCCGCGTCAGAAAAAAAACACATTCAGGCGAGACAACCGCGCACTGGAGAGGCTTCGAAAACTTGGCACGACAAACTCGCGCAAAGAGGCTGCGACCGCGTTTGATTCACTTAATCAAGCTCTCAAGGACGCTCGGCGGAAACGTTTGCTGTAGGTTTTCTAGACACTAGAAGGTGGCCAGTAACGCAGTCGGTGTATCGCCCAAAAGACATCGACGGATACCCAAAATGTAAGCTGATTTGATGCACAGAGCAGGGGCAAGCGGAGACGTGAAGGCGTACCCGGAAACAAAGTGGCAAGGTGGCAAAACCAGCAAACACAGAGGCTCTGTTGCACGTCTTGCGAAATAAGCGGAGGGTTCGTGGCAATCTAGCCAATCAGTATCGATTGTAACCAGATCACCTGCTTTCCCTGAGCGGCCAGAGAAAACGCCAGCTGGCATGAGACGGTGCTCTTTCCGACCCCCCCCTTCCCGGACAAGACCAGGACGACGTGCTTCACGCTCGATAGCCTCTCCGCCACCTCGGCCACCGCTGGAAGGTAGGCAAGGGGGAAACATACAATTGTAGTGAATGGTTGTGGCGATATACTGAGCCTCTACAAAAGGCTTACCCTTTAGTTGGGACCAAACCTTCAAGACCGTGAGGCGACAGTATATACCGCGACGGATCCTGCACAATTTTCTATGCAGGAAACGCCAAGGCCTCGTGAACAACCCGCGGGGAGCGCGACCACTGACCCGAGGGGGGGGGAATCGTTGGGGATGCTACGGCAACTTGCAACCAGGCTTGGAACTTTTTCAGTGGAACACTCTGACCATAGCTTCCTTTCAGATGAAGAATATCATTGCGGCCTTTCTCGGGCCAATGTGAACAATCCTTGGAACTACATGTAGCTCTAATCAACATCTCCGGCTGCAGCTGTGCATGCATACGACGTACTTCGCTCATTTCAAACCATCCACATGGCCGTGTAAATCCCCTTACAACGCACATAAAACACGGTGTTCTTGGGAAATTTCTGAAATGTAAGCCTGCTGATTGGATGATGCAGGCATTCCATTCCTGGGTGCAAGTGCAAAAACTGCCTTCCCACCGGAGCCGTCTCTTGTCTGAAAGACAACAACTTGCGGGAGCGTGGTAAACGCGGCACGAAAAGGAGGTTTTCAAAATATTCCTCTAGAGGGAAAGCGAGACCTTCTAACCCAAGCCCTAGCTTTGCCTGGTGCCGCCTTTCATCGGTGGGCTAGGTGCTTCTTCCGCGCTTGCCCCAAGTGGCGCTTTCTACCGAAGGGCAGACGGACGCGGCTGAACTTCTGTGGCCCGAGAGAAGGTTCTCGCGGTAGAAGGACTGAGGTTCCCCGTTATTCCGCGAGTGCATGCCTCCTTGCAGGTAATTCAAACATTCAAACCTCTATTTGCCGAGGGGACATTTCGTGGAGCGCCCGAACCTACCTTTGAACACCACCACAGCCTAAGCTGGACCCAGCATCGTGCCCTGGCAGACTTGCAGCAAGCGCGTTGTGTCTGTAGTGTACGGCGGGGGACTCTTTCTGCCTAAAATATAACAAACTCCGAGTGTACCGAGTACACGACCACAGGTAACCCAACCGGCGGTGCTGAGCACGAGTGCTGCTGCTGTTCCTCGCCCTGGTCCTCTCACCTGGGTCGACCTCTCGACCTTTCCCGGAGGCGCACGCCGTCTTGTTGGGGCAGCCAGCGCAGCCTGCGGCTTTGCCTGCTTCCTCGGCAGCCGGACCCACACACCCCTCATTCGCGTTGGAAGGGATGCCCGACGCCATCGGCGCCGTAGGTACCGGAGGCAAGGGCGTGGTGGATGCTGCGTCTGCCATGGCGTGTGCAACGGAGGGGAGTGTGATGCGAGGTCTTGACACAGGCCTGTGGACGGCAATGCGGCGAGAAGCGGCGGATTTCAAGTGGGTTCTGCGGGATGTTTTAGGTTCCTCTTGGGCAAAACGAGGCGGCGAGATTCGACTCCCCGTGGAGGCAGGAGGCAGGCCGTGCTTACAGCTTCAAGCCTCAATCGGCTACTTGTTGTGGGAATGTGCATAAAAGACTAGGCGAGACTTATAACCTAGTGCCATGGCGGAGTCGCCCACTATAGAGGCAGCAGACGAGGACGATGCGGCCGAGATCGTCTTCCCCAGCGGAAAAACAGTAATCGAACGAGATGCTCCCAAACCTAACAAGACCAGGGAAGGCAAGAATGTTGCACGAGGCAAGTACGCCGTCAGGCTTAGCTCTCCCCCTAAGAAGCGCAAGGCTTCTCCCGCAGAACCACCTAGAACACCGCTGCAATCAGGCCTTTCGAAGCTAGTGGAGGCGTCAGTACGATACCATCCGGACAAGGACCGCATCCTGAAGAAGGGGTTTGCTGGAGAAGGGCTGACTCCCCCGGAGCTCCGAGACATGCTTCGACGCTTGTTCCACATCAGACTAACAGAGCCCGAGCTCTCGGCCGTCTTTGCGCACTTTGTGCCCGACGGTGGCATGGAACTCGATGGAAACACCTTCGTCATTCACTTTATTCAGGTGCCAACGGACCAGCAGTCAAAACAGTAGTGTTTTGAAGTATTTTTCCGCTTGGTGTCGCTGCAGTGTCGGTATGGCTTTCTAGACTACAGCAGTAGTCTACTGGCCTGTAGCCATCAACCTTCCGGGATCGTGCACTAGTTGTTGACGAACGACTAGCCGGCAGTTGTCTGGCAAACAACTAACTAAGTTATGTGTACTTGGAAGAAAGAATAGGTTGTGGGCGTGCTTGGAAGAATGAATAGGTGGTGGGCGTGCTCGGGTAACCCAGCCCTCTCTGTCAGAACTCAGAACTCAAAACCGCGTTGTTGTTGGCGGTTCCACGACACACGGCCTCTCACTCAACCCCGGCATACATATGTAGAGAGCAGCGTTTTCTATGCTTGCTTGCGATGGCTTGGACAGCGGTGTATATTCGTCGCCCTAAACAGCACCCCATCCTCCCTGAATGTGTCTGTCATGTTGCCCTCTACACTATTGGGCTAAAACCTTCGATGCATAGACAGAGGACCCCACGCAGGTTTATATATAATAGCAAACATGTTATTGGATACGGCATCGGTGGAATTTCGGGCGGGGTATTAGGGTTAGGGTGGTGGCGTTACGGTTTCCCCCTTGCCTCTCTATTTCACTACAAGCTACAAGTGGCTGAGCTGTACTCATGGTTAAATCAAAGTGGGATATACAAGTGCGGATTGAAACGTTACCGCGCCCGCCCGGTTGTCGACCGCCTGGACACATCTGGGTACTCCCGGCCCCGAACCTTCCTTCCAATATCTCATGACCGTTTGAAGAGTAGGTCTGCCTCTGTACCCTTGCCATGAAATGTGGTGAACAGCGCCACACCCGGTCGGATTGCAGTCAAAACGAAATCTAGAACTGCGGAGGAAGATTGCTGCAACGCACCTGATTAGACATAACAACGCCCGGTTAATGAGGACCGTGGCCATATCAGGATGCTCCGGACCTAGCACCTTCTCTTGTATGGCCTGTGACCGTACAGTGGCTCAGCCTCAGCGTACTTGCCCTGGTGTTCAGTCGTACTGCATGCAAGGGAAAGTACCTTGAGGCCGAGCAACTGTTCGAGCGGTCACAGGCCATACACGAGAAGGTGCTAGGTCCGGAGCATCCTGATGTGGCCACGGTGCTCAAATTGTCTGCAACTCACCTGATTAGCCAGCAACAACGCCCGGTTGTTGAGGACCGTGCCCACATCAGGATGCTCC